GTCCCGGAGCTCATCTTCCTAACGTCTTCCTGATCCCCCCTTCTTCATGTTGAAGCCCCATTTCACAGAGGAGGAACGCTGGGGCTGAGGAAGGGCAAGGGAATTGCCCAAGGTCACAGCCAGTATAACTGGATTTCCAGCCTACACTCTTCTCCCTCCATTCCCAAGGCAGCCTTGCCCTCAAACCCCATCTTATTCTTAAGCGTCTCATCTGTCTCTGTCCTTACGCTCAGGAAGAGGCTGCCACCTCCAGGAGAGACTCTGGGAAGGCAGCACTCCACCCCCATGGCCCACTACCCTGTACCCATCCACTCCTCAAATCCCTTTCCCAAACTTGGCCATTTACGATGCCATTTGATTCACAGAATACAAGTTGTAAATCAAGGCCAGCCGTAGGGCTGAGGGGTCGAGGCCCTGCCCATACCTCCTTTCTGTTCCTGGACAGCCAGGCCAGGCCTGTAGCCCCATAATCAGCTGAATAGAGTCTGGTCCATAGGGTGGTGGGTGGTGAATAAGATTCTTTCATGGCTCCCAACCTGTCCTGCCTCATTTTTTTTTTCTTTGAGATGGAGTCTTCCTCCCGCCAGGCTGGAGTGCAATGGCACGATCTTGGCTCACTGCAACCTCCGCCTCCTGGGTTCAAGCAATTCTTCAGCCTCAGCCTCCTAAGTAGCTGGGACTACAGGCACACACCAAGGGATGCCCAGGTAATTTTTGTACTTTTAGTAGAGATGCCATTTCTTGGCCAAATGGCCTCGATCTCCTGACCTCATGATCTGCTCGCCTCAGCTTCCTAAAGTGCTGGGATTACAGGCATGAGCCATTGTGCCCGGCCAATTTTTTTATTGTTTGTAGAGATGCAGTCTTGCTGTGTTGTCCAGGGTGGTCTTGAACTTTTGGCCTCAAGTAATCCTCCTGCCTCGGCCTCCCAAAGTGTTGGGATTACAGGTGTGAGCCACCATACCTGGCCCGTTTTTACATTCTGTTATCATTTCAAATGTATTCTTTATATTGGAACTGTTATATTTGAAGTGTATGGATGGTCACACTTATTCCTATTTTTTTCCCAAATTTACTCTTTTTACTGAGGCGTAATTTATATTCAGTGAAGTGCCCTAATCTTAATATCAGTGAACTTTTATATATGTGTGCATGTGAATAACCATCACCAGGATCAAATGACGACTTCCAGCTCCCAAAGAAACTCCCTTGTGTCCCCTCCCAGTGAATGTCTCTCCTCCAAGAAAACTATTCTTGCCAGACATGGTGGCTCATGCCTGTAATCCCAGCAATTTGGGAGGGCGAGGTGGGCGGATCATTTGAGGTCAAGAGTTCGAGACCAGCAGGACCAACATGGAGAAACTACTAAAATACTAAAAATACAAAATTAGCTAGGTGTGGTGGCGTGTGCCTGTAATCCCAGCTACTTGAGAGGCTGAGGCAGGAGAATCGCTTGAACCTGGGAGGTGGAGGAGCCGAGATTTTGCGACTGCACTCCAGCCTGGGCAACAAGAGCGAGACTCCATCTCAAAAAAGAAAGAAAGAAGAAAGAAAGAAAGAAGAAAGAAAGAAGGAAAGAAAGAAAGAAGGAAAGAAAAAGAAAGAAAGAAAGAAGAAAGAAAAAGAAAGAAAGAAAAAGAAAGAAAAGAAAGAAAGAAAGAAAGAAAGAAAGAAAGAAAGAAAGAAAGAAAGAAAGAAGGAAAAGAAAGAAAGAAAAGAAAGAAACTCCCAGCCTCAAGTGAGCCTGCAGCCTCCAGTTCCTGGGCTGCAGGCTTAGCTTCCCAAAGTGCTGGAGTGGCAGGAGAATAGGGAATTAGGGTAATGGAGGTTCAGCAGGTGCAGCCACTTTGCATAAGCAACGGAATAGCGGGTGCAGCCAGTTCCCAGAGGCAGGAAGGCAACAGGTGCGGTTTACAGGCTGTATCCTCCCTCCCAGTAATACGCCACTCCAGCCTCTGATTGACTGCGAGCCAGGTCTCCACTTTGGCTCTGATTGGTCGAGAGCCAGTCATTCATAGCATATAACCAATTGGAGGCCTCTGAAGAGCACCTAGGGGTGTTGCTGGGTTCTTTGTAGCTTAATAAAAGCTCTAACTGGTAGGCCCCCTGTATTGGCTCACATTTAATCCCAACACTTTGGGAGGTCGAGGCGGCCAAGTCACTCGAAATCAGGAGTTTGAGACGAGCCTGGCCGACACGGTGAAAAACCCGTCTCTACTAAAGGTACAATAATTAGCTGGGCGTCGTGGCGTGTCCGTGGTGGCGCGCGCCAGTAGTCCCAGGCTACTCTGGAGGGCGAGGTGGGAGAATTGCTTGGAACTTGGGAGGCGGAGGTTGCAGTAAGCTGTGATTGTGCCACTGCACTCCAGCCTGATCAACAGAGCAAGACTTTGTCTTAAAAAAGACAACCCTACATGGGGAGGCGCTCAAGCCGCTCTCACTCTGTGAATTTTCTTAGATAAATCTCTGCTTTGTCTTTTGTTGCTTTTTTTTCTTTTCTATCTTTCTCTCTTTCAACACACTACCCCAAAATGCAATAGCATTTTTTTTTTGGAACGGAGTCTCACTCCGTCGTCCAGGTTGGAGTGCAATGGTGTGATCCCTGCTCCACTGCAACCTCCACCTCCCAGGTTCAAGAAATTTTCCTACCTCAGCCTCTCCCCAAGTAGCTGGACTTACAGGTGTGGACCACCACGCCTGGCTAGTTTTTTTGTTTGTTTGTGTTTTTAAGAGGGAGTTTCACTCTTGTCTGCTTCCCGGGTTCAAGCAATTCTTCTGCCTCGGCCTCCCAAGTAGCTGGGATTACAGGTGTCCAGCTAATTTTTAATTTTCATTTTGTAGAGATGCGGTTTCACCATGTTGGGCAAGCTGGTCTCAAATCCTGACCTCAGGTGATCCACCCAAAGGTGCTGGATTACAGGTGTGAGCCACCATGCATGGCCTTTTTTTTTTTTTTTGAGACTGAGTTTTGCTCTTGTTACCCAGGCTGGAGTGCAATGGCGCGATCTCGGCTCACCACAGCCTCCGCCTTCTGGGTTCAGGCAATTCTCCTGCCTCAGCCTCCTGAGTAGCTGGGATTACAGGCACGCGCCACCATGCCCAGCTAATTTTTTGTATTTTTAGTAGAGATGGGGTTTCACCATGTTGACCAGGATGGTCTCGATCTCTTACCTCGTGATCCACCCGCCTCGGCCTCCCAAAGTGCTGGGATTACAGGCGTGAGCCACCACGACCGGTCGGCCTTTTTTTTTTTACATTTAATTTTGAGACAGGTTCTCACCTCTTGCCCCATTCTTTTTCACCCAGGCTGGAGTGCAGTGGCACTATCATAGCTGACTGCAGCCTTGACCTCTGGGGCTTATCCTCCACCTGAGTCTCCCGAGTAACCGGACCTACAGGTGTGCATCACCACGCTTGGCTCGTTTTAACTTTTTTTTTGTAGAGATGGGGATTTTGCTATGTTACCCAGGCTGGTCTCAAGCAATCCTCCTGCCTCGGCCTCCCAAAGTGCTGGGATTACAGGTGTGAGCCATTACCCTGGCCAATAGCTCTAAAATGGATGTGGGGTTCGCTGAGACTTGGCTGATCCGGGCTGAGCTTGGATGGAATCTCTGCTTCATATGGGAACATTGTGCTGTGCAGGCTCAGAGGAGAAGCCCTTCTCATGGGGATGCTGAGATGCAAAAAGAAATGTTCAAGGTTTCAAGGCCTAAGCTCGGAACTGACACGACTGTCACTTGTGTCCCTCTGTTGCTGGCCAAAGCCAGTCACATGCCACACCCCATCTTCCTCCACAGGTAAGGATTATTTCAGATGTGCTTTGCTTTTTTTTTTTTTTTTTTTTTTTTTGGAGACAGAGTCGCACTCTGTTTCTTAGGCTGAAGCGCAGTAGTGGGATCTCAGCTCACTGCAACCTCTACCTCCCAGGTTCAAGCAATTCTCCTGCCTCAGCCTCCTGAGTAGCTGGGATTACAGGTGCACCCCACCACGCCCAGCTAATTTTTGTATTTTTAGTACAGATGGGGTTTCATCATGTTGGTCAGGCTGGTCTTGAACTCCTGACCTCGTGATATGCCTCCCAAAGTGGTGGGATTATAGGCGTGAGCCACCGCACACAGCCCCCATCCAGGGGTGCTTTTCTTAAATGGGCGCACACACTGGACCATCCACACCTGATTCATATCCTGCATCTCTGGAAGGATATTGGAAATCGGTCATCAGGTTTGAACATTTTTTTAACTGTATTTTTTTTTCTTTTTGAGACGGATTCTCACTCTGTCACCTCAGCTGGGGTGCAGTGGCACAATCTCAGCTCATTGCAACCTCCGCCACCCAGGTTCAAGCAATTCTCCTGCCTCGGCCTCTGGAGTAGCTGGACTAGCACGTGCCACCACACCCCGCTAATTTTATTTTGTATGTTTAGTAGAGATGAGGTTTCACCATGTTGGCCAGGCTGGTCTCAAACTCCTGACCTCAAGTGATATACCTGCCTCAGCCTCCCAAAGTGCTGGATTATAGGTGTGAGTCACTGTTCCTGACCATTTTAATTTTTTTTTTAAGATGGCTCTGTCTCCCAGGCTGGAGTGCAGTGGCTTTATCTCGGCTCACTGCAGCTCCCTCTCCCAGGTTCAGGCGATTCTCGGGCCTCAGCCTCCCAAGTAGCTACCACACCCAGCTGATTATTATTATTTTAAAGTAGAGATGGGATTTCACCATGTTGTCCAGGCTGGTCTCAAACTCCTGACCTCAGATGATCCACCTGCCTCGGCCTCCCAAAGTGCTGGGATTACAGGAGTGAGTCACTGCGCCCACCCTATTTTTTAAATTAAAAAACTATGGCCAGAAGGTGAAAATAGGAATATCCCACCCTATGTACCCATTTTCTTGACATGGCAACTGAGGCTTTAAGGGATAGGATGGGGCATTTGTTGAATGCTGTGTTGCATATGCAAGCAGTTTCTCCTCTCTGAGTCTGTTTCATCTTTTTTTTTTTTTGACAGGTTTGCTGTCACCCAGACTGAAGTGGAGTGGCATGGTCACAGCTCACTTTGGCCTCAAGCTGCTAAACTCCAGCGATCCCCCTGCTTCAGCTTCCTGAGTAGCTGAGACCAGGTATGAGACATCAGACATGGCTAATTTCTTTTCTTTTTTTTTTTTTAAATACTCTTAAGGCATTTATTTACTACAACATTCTCCGATTTCACATTAGCTTAAAATTCAATTCAGTCTTGACATTTCTCCACTGAGGCTACTGCCTCAGCGCATGACATAACACCTCCTCCAGCACTCAGTGTGACCCGAATCCAAACGGTGAGCCCCAGGGTCAGCCTCTTTGTTTCCCAGGTGAACCGACTAGATGTTGATACTGCTCTGCTACAAAGTGAAAGCTCCTAACTCAAACTTACTGGAAAAGGCGTGACGTCTGCAAAGTGCGCTTTAAGAAGAGGTACTTTTTGCTTATGAAAAGAAACCAGTGAGGCCTCTAAGGATACTGAAAGGGAGTATGTGACAGTGCAGCACGTGATTCGGAGTGAGGAGTCCGGGTGTTGCTCTGCTGCTCCAGGCTGTTCATACTCTTCCTGCTCCTCCCGTGGGCCCCCTTCCTCAGGTATCACAAAGCCTCCCATCTGTGGCATACAGAATGGCTACAATCCTCCGCAATACCAGCTTGTTTTCCCCCCTCATTCTCCTGGCAAATCAATTCAGTGTTCCGTAGCTTTCCAAAGTAGAAATCCCTCTTTTTTTCCAAGTCTTTTTTTTTTTGAGACGGAGTTTCACTCTTGTAACCCAGGCTGGAGTGCAATGGCACGATCTCGGCTCACTGCAACCTCCGCCTCCTGGGTTCAGGCAATTCTCCTGCCTCAGCCTCCTGAGTAGCTGGGATTACAGGCACGGGCCACCAGGCCCAGCTAATTTTTTGTATTTTTAGTAGAGACAGGGTTTCACCATGTTGACCAGAATGGTCTCGATCTCTTGACCTCGTGATCCACCCGCCTCGGCCTCCCAAAGTGCTGGGATTACAGGCGTGAGGCACCGCGCCTGGCCTCCAAGTCTTCAACAGTAAGTTTCAGTACGTTGACCAGGTGCATCAACTCAGCTGCCTCGTCATCCCCATTGCCCACACCAGGGTTCTTTCGCAGCATGCCAGGGCCAGCCTGAGGAGCCGCAACATTTCTGTGTTGAGATGGGCCTCTGGGGAGCTGCACTGCTAGAACTAAGAGGTTTCTTAGGTTTATTCAGAGCTGGAGCAACGAGGGAGGAGCCACCGCCGTTTCTTGACCTTGTCTGGCAGCCACAGGGTCAGAGTCTTTTCCGTCATAGTTTGCGACAGAAAACTTCTTGAATCACTGAAGGAATTCACAATTGTCCTGAAACTTTCCTTTTACTAATTTGTCCACAGGAATTTTGTCAACACCCATCCTCTTAAAACCCGCTTGTATTTTGAAGTTCTGGGTGTACTCATGTTCTAGCTTAGCTTGGAATTTCACTTTCTTCAAGCAGTGGAGCCAGGGAACAGCATGTCCGTAAACTGACCATAGGCAGCCCCTGCGCACAGCTGTTCGATCTTTGTCAGATTCAGCTGCAGAGACTCATTGATCCAGGCCCGCATGCCATGTGGACTTAGATTATCACCTGTCGCTGACGTTGAGTGTACGTTCACGGCCATCTTCGGCTCTCAGCAGAACCATGTCCACTGCCCGCACCCGGCTCCAGTTCCATCTTCTCATTCAAACCGCCAGACCCCGCCCACTCATGGCTAATTTCTTAAAGATTTTTTTTTTTGCCAGACACTGTGGATCACACCTGTAATCCCAGCACTTTGAGAGGCTGAGGTGGGTGGATCACTTGAGGTCAGGAGTTCGAGACCAGCCTAACCAACATGGTGAAACCCCATCTCTACTAAAAATACAAAAAAAAATTACTTGGGCATGGTGATACATGCCTGTAGTCCCAGCTGCTAGGGAGGCTGAGGCCGAAGAATGGCTTGAACCGGGGAGGCGGAGGCTGCAGTAAGCTGATAACACACCACTGCACTCCAGCCTGGGTGACGGAGTGACACTTTGTCTCAAAAAAATAAACAGGCCAGGTGTGGCGTTGGGCGCCTGGAATTCCGGCTACTCAGGAGGCTGAGACAGGAGAATTGCTTGAACCTGGGAGGTAGAGGTTGCAGTGAGCCAAGATCACACCACTGCACTCCAGCCTGGGCAACAGACTCTGTCTCAAATAAATAAACATACATATATATTGTTTTGTAGAGACAGGTTTGCCCTATGTTGCCCAAGCTGGTCTCAAACTCCTAGGCTTAAGCAGTCTTGCCTCAGCCTCCCAAAGCACTGATGACAGGTATGAGTGACCCCCATCTGATCAGTTTCCTCATTTTTAGGTGGGGCTGGTAATAGTGCCTCTCTTGGGGGCTCAGCTGCAAAGATTCTGGGGCTCTGCTACTCCTTGGCTGTGTGACCTTGGACAAATTACTCAACCTCTCTGTGCCTCATCTTTTTCACCTGTGGAATGGAGTGAATCATGGCAGCTGGTGTGAAGATTAACAATTTGCATATAGTAGATGGCACAGGGCAGTCTTGGGTTACTCAAACGTCAGCCGTTGTTGGCGCTGTGTAAATACTTGGGACAGGGCTGGCCTGAAGAAAGGTTTTCCTTAGTTAACATTTTGTTCTTTCAATCTTCATCTCATTTAATCCTCACTGAAATGCTATGTGATGAGTGTGATCATCCCCGTTTTACAGATGAGAAAACAGGCTCAGCCAGAGATCACTATTGCCCCAATTTACGTGGCAGCAAGGCCAGGATTTAAACCTAGATCTGGCCGGGCGTGGCGGCTCATGCATGTAATCCCAGCACTATGGGAGGCTGAGATGGGCGGATCATGAGATCAGGAGTTTGAGACCAGCCTGGCCAACATAGTGGCACCCTATCTCTACTAAAAATACAAAAAAATTAGTCGGGTGAGGTGATGTGCACCTGTAATCCCAGCTACTTAGGAGGCTGAGGCAGGAGAATCACTTGAACCCAGGATGCGGAGATTGCAGTGAGCTGAGAACGCACCACTGCACTCTAGCCTAGGGGGACAGTGAGAAACTGTCTCAAAAACAAACCCTAGATCTGCCTGGCTCCCCCCAATCTCCATCTCCTGCCCTCCTCCCAACACACAGTATTTACCATGTGCTACCCTATTATAAGTCTTTTCTGGGGGATTTTCCTTTTTTTTTTTTTTTTTTTTTTTTTTTGAGAAAGAGCCTTGCTCTGTCGCCAGGCTGGAGTGCAGTGGTATGATCTCGGCTCACTGCAACCTCTGCCTCCTGGGTTCAAGCGATTCTCCTGCCTCAGCTTCCCAAGTAGCTGGGACTGCAGGCACACACCACCACGCCTAGCTAATTTTTGTATTTTTAGTAAAGACAGTTTCACCATGTTGGCCAGGATGGTCTCAAACTCCTGATCTCATGATCTGCTCGCCTCAGCCTCCCAAAGTGCTGGAATTACGGGCGTGAGCCACCGCTCCTGGCCGGTGATTATACATTAATCCTTACCACAGGCTCAAAGGAGGGTACCCTGTGAATCCTGTTCTACAGACGGAGAATCTGAGGTCCAGAGAGATTACTTCTTGGCTCAGAGGGTCACACAGCTAGCAGATGACCCAGCTGAGATTCATACCTGGGTTTCTGGCTCCAGTCCCTGCACTGACTCGAGGTAAGCACGTGGCGGATCCAGAACCAATGTCCGGTGTCCTGAGGCCAAAAAAAAAATGGGGAACAGGGGAAGGGCTCTGCTGCCCTTCAGTTCTCTATCTGCTGTAGAAATAGCTGGAGCTAGGCCAGGAGCAGTGGCTCAGGCCTGTAATCTCAGGACTTTGGGAGGCTGAGGTGGGCGGATCACCTGAGGTTGGGAGGTTGAGACCAGCCTGACCAAAATGGGGAAACCCTAACTACTAAAAATACAAAATGAGCCAGGTGTGGTGGCACATGCCTGTAATCCCAGCACTTTGGGAGGCCGAGGCAGGAGGATCGATTGAGGCCTGGCCAACATAGGGAGACCTCATCTTTATAAAAAAACAATAAAAAGTAGCTGGGCATGGTGGTGCATTTGTAGTCCCAGCTACCTGGGACTTGGGAGATGAGGAGGGAACATTGCTTGAACCTGGGAAGTCGAGGCTGCGGTGAGCTATGATTTTGCCATTGTACTCAAGCCTGGGTGATGCCCATCTTTAAAAAAAAGCTGGAGTAGGCCCGGCGTGGTGGCTAATGCCTGTAATCCCAGCACTTTGGGAGGCCAAGGCGGGCAGATTACAAGGTCAGAAGTTTGAGACCAGCTTAGCCAATATGGTGAAACCTCGTCTCTCTTCCCCCCTTCCCAAAAAAAGGAAAAAAGTCTCCCCTCCCTCCTCTCCTCCCTCCTACTCCCCCACCCCACCAAAAAAAAGCTGGAGTAGGCCAGGTATGATGACTCATGCCTGTAATCCCAGCCCTCTGGGAGGCAGAGATGGGTAAATCACCTGAGGTCCAGAGTTTGAGACCAGCCTGGCCAACATGGCGAAACTCCATCTCTACAAAAATTATCCAGGCATGATGGCAGGGGCCTGTAATCTCAGCTACTTGGGAGGCTGAGGTGGGAGAATTGGTTGAACCTGGGAGGTGGAGGTTGCAATGAGCCAAGATCGTGCCACTGCATTCCAGCCTGAGCGACAGAGTGAGACTCCAGCTCAAAAAACAAAAACAAAAGACAAAGGCTGGAGTAGTTAGGATATGAGTTTGAATTTTCATTTCCATGATTTAATCAGCACCCATTGTCCCGAATGCCTTCTCTGTCCTGGGCCTGTGCTGGGTGGCACTGTGGATGTAGTAGAAACTGGCATGGCCCCCAGCGCCGTTCTCCCTTTTTGGGGGTCATAGCCTAATACGGGTCAGATCTGCCCCCCAACACTGATGACCTAGAGTTGGCAGGGCTGAACGTGGGAGCCCAAGAGTCTGCAAACCTGGGAGGTAAAAAGTGCATCCTAGAGGAGAAAGCATCAGCACGGGAGCTCAGAGGACAAGGAAGTAAAGGGCATGTTGGCTGCAATTCAAAGGGGAGTGGGGAGGGGCGCGGAGTTGTGCTGGAGCCACAGACCAGCAGCGCCCTCTGCTGGAAGCATCCCACAGTGCAGTGACCCGGGTACCTCGCGCCTTTTAAGTTTTTTATTTACTTTGAGTCGTAGTTTGGCTGTTGTTGGCCAGGCTGGAGCGCAGTCACTTGATCTCAGCTCCCTGCAACCTCTGCCTCCCGGTTCAAGTGATTCGCCTGCCTCAGCCTCCCAAGTAGCTGGGATTACAGGCATGCATTACCACGCCCAGCTAATTTTGTATTTTTAGTAGAGATGGGGTTTCACCATGTTGGTCAGGGTGGTCTTGAACTCCTGACCTCAAGTGATCCACCTCAGCCTCCCAAAGTGCT